GTACATCGGGGTATATCAATTAGCGATTTCCACATGGCACATGGTAGGTGGTAAGAGCTTACGTGGATCTGTGAACCAGATATCGCCAGTCTTGGGATGCACGGCAATGTCGTCAATGGTGTTGAAGTAGTATCCAAAGTAATTGTTGACCAGGCTCGTTGTTTTATTTGTCTCTGGATCTAAGGTTCTGAGGGAGATGCGTTGTTCAGTCCCGCCAATTGAACTATTGCCGCCCGATGCGCCCCATATGATTTTGCCTTCATGGAACGTGCCGCCATTGGGAGCATAGACTGGTGGATCGGAGAGGTATTCGGATAATGTTGGGGGATCCTGGTTGAGATCGATAACCAGCTGCGGAAGATAGCCTGGCGGCGGCGCGAGCTGCGAGAGGTACAGTTTGTTCTGCGATGCCACGTAGACAGGGGCTTCATGCACCGCATCGTTCACGGCAAAAACATATTCGTAGCTCGGGTTCGAGCCTAGGATATCGAGTCCTTTCTCTTTGTTATACACAATGAAATCCGCGGTCTTAACGTCTTGCAGGACTGTGCCGTTGGCTACGGTGGTATCACCGAAGGTCGTAACGGCGTCCATTGTGCTTACATTGCGAAAGAAGTGGTAGCTATTCTGAGCGTCAATGGCTGCCCGGGCGATTCAGCAGCTGGGATTTACGAGGGACTCACGGAAGCACATTCGCATAGTGATTGACGCAGACAACCGAAGGGCCACATTCTTCTGAGATGGGATGGGTAACGCCAGTCTGGGCTTGGACGAGACTGCCCGTGAAAGATGCGAGTAACAGCAGGAGATTTTCCATTGTGAATTGTAAATCCATATATAAGTTCCGTCAAGTCGACGTTTCGAAGAGATCAAGGAAGGCCCAGATACAGCCTTTCATTCCGATCAACAGATCCCCCGGTGGGCTATACAGTGATATTTGTAGACCATCCATCGGAAGATGGCACGGGTAATTGGAAAGAGGAAGGAGTAATCAACGGGATGATCCCGATTTCTATCCAAGCCAGTTTGATCCCAAGCATACATGGGGGGCTTGCCTCGGGGGGGTTTGAGGTCTTAGGGGCGATTGTTGGACGGATGCGGTAACTGGAAACCCTCCTCTTAGTGTGGGGTACAAACGAGTTTGGGGCACGATCATCGCCCCTCCGGGGACTTCTCCCCCAAGACAAGCCATTCTCAATATTGCGGAGCGGCTTAGTATGTCTCGGCAGTCTGGTTTTCGGATAAGTTCCCAGGCTTGCGGAAAATGAGCAAGCAGGTTCTGGTGACCTGTAAATCGGAGAACGACCGAGGGGAGGGCCGAGGGAGATGCTGCAAAAGAAGCAGAGTGTCTGTTTACCCCCAAGCAGATCCTTCCCATTGAAAAAAATAAGAAAGCAGGTCATCCACTAATGCCGGATGTTCAGGGAACTAATATCTTCAATGCTGCCAGTGCCATCGCCAGACACCGGGAGATCTTTGGCATCGGGATGTATATCCGAGTTGTCTTCCCTCTCGCCCACGGCACGCTGAATCAACTTGGCTTTAACAGCAGCGCCTTTCATGCGCTCATCTACATCATTCACCGCTTCCTCCGTGTTCACCATAGGCAGGGAAGCGGGGTCTACCAGTTCCAGCAGGATCTCGATGTTCTTGGCTAGCCTGGAGCTAGATGAAAGGCTCGACATTTCCTTGCAAATGGCGGGATCCAACAAGGAAGGTTCTTCCTGTTTGTGATCAGTCTCCGGAGCTCCGTTGATCTGGCCATTGGACTCGGGGTTTCCCGACAGCTGCGAATCTGCAAGCCGTTGAGACCAAACCAGGGCTTTGCCATATAGTCTTCCCAGTTCGAGGAACTTCTCGAATCCTTTCTCGACAGCAAACACACTACCCTCTGTATACCCGGCTTGTGCACCATCCGCTGCACCCAGATCGTAGCCTTCTTGGTAGAATTCTTCCTCCAGGTCGAGCAGACTCTCAAGTAGGTTATTGTTCTCCATGATTGCGATTCAAGATGGATAAAGAGATAGGCACGGGAGGGAAGGAATGAGAGATAAGACGGTAATAGAGTAGAGAACACGACAGTGGTATCTAAGAATCTGCAATTAGTTGCAGCAGTGGAGTGGGGGCAAAGGAATGGAACAGTAGGAGATGAGATGATATGAAAGGGAAGCGCCCAAAAAAAGTGCGGAGAGAAGCGGCCGAAAGCGATGAAGCGATGAATCATCCGCACCCGCGAAAAAGTTGCAACATTTCTACCCCTCCATCCCGCTGATAGTCCAATTCCCCGCCATCCGCCTCCAATTCCATCATGGCTTCCGACTCTAAGATCTTGCCCAAGAAGGGCCAGCGCAATATCCTGGTCACCAGTGCTTTGCCCTACGTCAACAACGTGCCTCACTTGGGTAACATTGTTGGTTCCGTTCTCAGTGCTGATGTCTTTGCCAGGTACTATCTATCCATTCTGCTTCCTTTGCCCCCCCCCCCCCATCCCCAATTGCTCCCTTTGTCTGGCTCCTGTTCGCAGGCTCTCTCATTAATTCCATTCCCACAATGCTAACACCCACTTCTTCAGATTCCACAAGGCTTGCGGACATCAAACACTCTACATCTGTGGTACCGATGAGTATGGAACGGCAACCGAGACCAAGGCTTTGGAGGAGAAGGTGACCCCGGAGGAGCTGTGCGCCAAGTACAACAAGATCCACCAGCAGGTGTACGAATGGTTTGAGATTGGCTTCGATCACTTCGGACGCACCCCGACCCAGCAACACACCGAAATTTCCCAGGCCATCTTCAAGAAGCTCTACGAGAACGGCTATCTGACGGAGAAGACGGCGGAACAGCCCTTCTGTGAGACACATGGATCTTTCTTGGCGGATCGTTACGTGGAAGGTGAATGCCCCCGGTGCCACTACGACGATGCTCGTGGTGACCAGTGCGATAAGTGCGGTCACCTCTTGGATCCCTTCGACCTCATCAATCCCCGCTGCAAGCTTGATGGAGCCACCCCCGTCCGCCGCTCTACGAAACACATCCACCTTCTCCTCGACAAGCTCCAGCCTCAGATTGAAGAATGGTCTAAGAATGCCATCGAAAAGGGCGATTGGCCTAAGAATTCGCGTGTCATCACCGAGTCTTGGTTGAAGGAAGGTCTGAAGGACCGCGGTATCACCAGAGACCTGAAGTGGGGTGTCCCGGTGCCTCTGGAGGGATTCGAGAGCAAGGTGCTTTATGTCTGGTTTGAGGCTTGCATTGGTTACCCCTCCATCACGGCCAACTATACCCCCGATTGGGAGCTCTGGTGGCGGAACCCGGAGGATGTCCAGCTGTATCAGTTCCTGGGCAAGGATAACGTTCCCTTCCACAGTGTCATCTTCCCCGGTTCTCAGCTGGGAACCAAGGAGAAGTGGACTATGCTTCACCACCTGAGCACCACGGAGTACCTGAACTACGAGGGTGGCAAGTTCAGCAAGTCTAGAGGTATTGGTGTCTTTGGTACCAGCGCCAAGGAGACGGGTGTGCCCCCGGATGTGTGGCGCTACTACCTCCTGAAGAACCGTCCCGAGACTGGTGATACCCAGTTCGAATGGCGCTCCTTCGTTGAGAGCAACAACAGCGAGCTGCTGGCTAAGCTGGGAAACCTTGTCAACCGTGTCATCAAGCTTGTTACGGCATCTTACGGCTCGGTCGTTCCCGAGTTCACTGTCCCCGAGAGTTTCCAGCCTACCTTGGACGAAGTCACGGCTACTCTCAGACAGTACGTTGAAGAGATGGAGGTTGCACACCTCCGCGCTGGTGTGGTGAGTGCGATGAAGTTGGCCGAAGCCGGAAACGGTCTGATCCAGGCCAACCGCCTTGATAACTCGTTGATTGCCAACGAGCCCGAGCGTGCTGCCGCGGTCGTCGGTACTGTGCTCAACTTGATCCATCTCCTGGCCAGCGTTTTCTCTCCCTACCTCCCCGCCACCTCCAAGGCTATCAACGAGCAGCTCGACGTGCCGTTCGGCCTGATCCCCTCTCTGGAGGACATCAAGGACGGCTGGAAGCCGACTGCCATCAAGCCGGGTCACAAGATCGGCAAGGCCAAGTACCTGTTTTCTCGTATCGACCCCAAGAAGGCCGACGAGTGGCGCGAGATGTTCGGTGGTTCCCAGGCCGACCGCCAGAAGAAGGAAGAGGAAGCGGCCAAGGCTGCGGCCAAGAAGGCTGCAAAGGATGCCGCTAAGGCTAAGAAGAAGGAGAAGAAGGCCAAGGCTGCTGAGGCCGCTGCCGCCGGCAGCAATGTTGAAGCCTCCGCCAAGGGAGGCGCCCAGGCTGTAGAGGTCACCACCGATAGCAAGACCGACGAGGCCGTCGAGAAGGTCGCCGATGGCGTGGCCCAGGTCACCATTCCCTCCTCTTAAATCACATAGAATTCCCAGCTCCCCAATTCCGTCAAAAGACTCGGAAGACAGCGTCTATAGAGTTGCAGCGACTAGCGGACTCCCTTGATATCCTGTGCTGATGATTAGAGCGTTTTTTTTTTTTCTCTCTTCCCACTTCCTTTCGTTTTCCGGCTTCGTCATCATAGATCGTTGATGATCTATAGCTACTTTTTCTTCCTCTTTCTTCTTCTCGTCTTGGGATACTGCGTTGCTACGTATGCAAACCATACTTTTGTGAAAATGGAGTCGATATGAGATACGATGTTGGTGAAATGAGCGCAACGGTTGATGACTGACTGATTGATTGACGGATGGATGGATAGTTTCAGTAGTTTTTTTCGGTTTTGGATGTCTCGCTTTGGCTTCACGTTTGTTATCATCCCGCATAGTTTCAGTTCAACAAAATTCGACAATTCAACATGGGTTTTCAATACAATCCATTCCCGTCTTTTCTGTGCCAGGGTCTTGCTGTGGGCTCTACCCACAACATTACCCAATTCAGTTACATGGATCGAAGGGTATCGCCCGTCGCCAGCAGCTACAGTAGACTTCCTTCCATTTCAGACAAGAGGACCCCGGATAGACAACAGGATTAACCTGAATAAATCGCTCATATGCATTCCCAGAGAGTAATAGTAGTAATAACAAAAAGAGTACATGATACGGGGAAATGAAACAAAGGAAAAAAAGAAAAAAGCATGACGAGCCAATCCATGTATAACCGAAGCATGATACTCCAGATGTATGAGCCCCGCCAAAAGTCCATTTGAAATCGAAAGGTTTGGCCTCCACGACGCCTCCATGTGCAGATCCCTTCCAACTACATAGCCTTCTCCCGGTCTACTCCATTACCTCTTCCGGTTGTTTGGTCTAGGCTTCACTTCTTCTTGGCTGACAGGGTGCAGCATGACCTTGTTGGGCAGTTGCTGGTTGTTGGCGGAGTAGCCCTTGCTCCAGTCGTAACTGACAGCATAGGCGAAGATGTTGCCGTTGCGGTTGAAGGCGGTGCTGGAGATGGTACCGCCCACGGAGGGATATCCCTTTAGACGGTGCTTGGCGTCCTTATCCCAGAAGTGGAAGGTACCGTCACTGCCGGCGGTGCTGAAGGTGCCGTGGACGGGGTGGAAGGAGATGGCGTTGACGGAGTAGATGTTGTTGACATCGCGCTGAGGAGTCTCACGGTGGCACTTGAAACTGAAGTTGTTGGAGGAGTCCTTGTCCTCGACATACTGGATCGCACAGCGGCCCTCGACACTGCCGACGGCGAAGCCAGTGGCAGTCGAGAAGCAGCTGACTACTCGCGTCTGCCACTTGAGGGGAGACTGCATGGTCTTGTAGAATTTGGTGGGGTTTTCGAGGTTGATGACGTTGATGTAGCGGTCTGCGGTGCCGACCACGAGAAGTTTGTCCTTGACATCCATGGTGTAAACACGCTCCTGGCACTCCACCGTGGCAATGGGGTTCGACTGTCGCAAGTCCCAGTACTTGATGGTCTTGTCCCAAGAGCCGGTCACAAGTAGCGGGGTTCCTCCGGCCGGATTTGGGATCATGTGGCAGCATTTGATGGGCGCATCGTGAGCGGCGACTTGAGTGGTCGCATTGGTCGCAAGGTCGAGCATACGAGCGGCTTTGTCGGCGCCAGCTCCGACAACTTTCGTACCATCCTAGGTAGCAACAGAGTCCAGATCAGTTAACTGTAGACACTGCGACAGGGGAATGAGGGTGAGCTCACCGGCGACCAGCAACAGCTCAGAACGGGGGCCTCGTGCTCGAACAGAGCTTTACCTTCACTCTGGCCCTGCTCATTGATCTCGTAAATGCGAACCTTCTTGTCCCATGAAGCGACAGCTAGGTGTTCACTAGCCGGAGAGAAGCGGAGGTCCGAGATACTGTCCTCGGGAGGTTGGTTCAGGGCAACATCCTTGGAGATATCACCTGTGGTGTTGGTCTGACCAGCTGAGGTCGTCGCGGCGCCGACGGAACCGAAAAGCGACATTAGGGCGGCGAAGTATTACACTGTATTGACCGATTAGGCGATAAGCTGTACTATCAGGGACCTTGAGGGGATCCACAACGCGAGACGAACCAGGAGAAAAGCAGACGTGACTGGAAGCGGGAGGAGAGGCAGCAAGACCTGGGTGGTGGTGTTGTACCCAAGCGGTCGCGGAATAGAGGCGCAACCGGCCAAATTGACCGAAGAGCGTGAAGCTTGGATGTTTCGAAAGGCGCACTAGATTGACAGCCCGGGCAGCATTCACTAATTGCACGAAAAGGAATGGGATGAAGATGGATTGGATTGTATGGAAACTCGCTCATCCAAATGGGCAATAATTAATCGAATATCTTCTTCGCGGCTTTCCCTTCACCGCCTTCAAACAAGACAAACTGCTGAGTCAGCCGGGGGAGAGCTTCCCTCTCACCTTTCCGTCCTGGGTAATCACTCTGTAGTACTACATAGTCACTACCTACTACTAGTACCAAGTAGTGGGTAGGACAGTGAGATGCCCTTTATTCACTCCCAGGACCATCTGCATATTCAACAGCAGTTCGACAAGTCCTTCGCTTTGATTCTTTTCTGCTATACCAATGAAGGAGTTACAACATTTAGTCTCCACACATCTGAGATTGCTGAACTATATACTAGACATAAGAAATACAGGCAGCTTAACAACATACCTTGCCAACAATCTAGTACTAATCCCCTGACTGTTCGGTTGAGACCTCAGCTCTTTGCAGACTGGTTGAATTTGCTCGACACTGGCACCCCATAACGATCAACGTCAACAAAATGGACACTGGCTACGAGCATGGGAGGAAGGGAGAGGGGGAAAAGCTGACCTGCAACGGGTCGCCACCCACTATCGTTGACTGATGCTGGTAGTTGTGTTGCAGGCAATATGGAAATGCAGCGTGGACCCCCGTTATGATTCGTAGGACCCCGCCCAAGCCTGCACGGTCAAAATGTTGGATGGCCAATAACCTGCAATCCACCACCTTATGATCGCCGATTGCTGTAGCCCCGTCTCGGGTGCAGTTTCACTTTCGAAGGTACCTACCTACCTACTCTACGTAGTAGGCAGGCTACAGCCTACAGGGGGGGACATCACACCACTGGTCCAGTCCCGGGGCCTGGACAGGCACACCCATCAAGACTCCTCTCAAACCTCGAGCTTGTCTAGTCTCGGCCAGGGCTGGTATCCCTTCATTCGATGCCCTCGCGATTTGGATGTCAAAGAACCTCACGTGCCACGGGGGGGATGACAGACCTTACATGAGCGGGCATTTACAGTTCAACCTGTACCACGGAAGGCATCTGCCAATTGTCTGGCACAATGAAAGGAAATGGGCGCCATGAGGTCATGCATTTCATCCGTCTTTCCGTCTGGGGTTGATTCGCTTCAAGTCAGTTGGTGGTTACGAGAAAGGTGACGCATTTTCGATCTTCATTACGGCTGCTGGTTCTGTGGGGAGGGGGTGCCGTATGCCACTACTAAAACTACAACGACTATACTACTACCTGGAGACTGGTCCACCAAAGATACCGCAGGTAGGTGCAGGGAGAAGGAAAAAGGAAATCATTGGGCCAGGCGGGAGAGCGACCGAAGGAGAGAAAATAAAGTACGGCGAAAGAAGCAGACCAAGTGGAGCGGGCGGGAATGCGGGGTGCAGCCTTAGTGGACCGTCGCCCGGAAGCTCTCGACGTCAGGCTTGCTCGTGTGATCCGGTTGCCCCGGGTGCATCATTCATTGATTTTAATCTACTTACTTGGAGGAATTTATCTGACACCTTACTTAAGAATTCAATACTAGATGTCTCATTAATGAAAATGGAGAGAGGGTTATGGGTGTGTGAGTGTGTGTGTGTGCGTGGGGAGGGAGAGGTGGCACTTTGAAACCACCATCCATCAGGTGATGGTCCGGATGTAGATATGCATCGTCCGGTGCGGAGATCCTAACAACATCATCCTCCTCCTCGTCCCATCATTCCACCCTGCCTGCATTTTCTCTTTCTCTCTTCCTCTTCCTCTCGCCATCCAGGCTTCCTCCCCTGTTCACTGTGGGAACATACGATCCAGGTTGATTGCTTAGGGCCCGCTTCTATTCATCATTTGAGCCATTCAGTCCCCATCATAATCCCTGTAGCTGTGCAGTAGTTTGCAATTGAACTTTACGTACACCCGTGCTGTAGAATACTCCTTCAATGTCCTCCCTTGGTCCAATGCATCCCATGCCTGTATGTATGTATATATGACTGTACGTACGTATCTATCTACATCATGTATGAATGGTATGGATGGAATAATGGGGATGTATCAGGTAAGGAACACGATGGTATGGTATACGTCAGGTAACTTAAGTAGTAACTGACAGAGACACATCCCAAAGTAGCAAGTGAGAGCAAAGTGAACCGCTCCTTCCCTCTTCTTCTTGTTCTCCCCATTTCTGGGTTGGCCCATCCATGTCACCTGCCCTTTCCCTTCCCTTTTCTTCCTTCCCTTCTTCTTCTTCTTCTTCTCCTCCTCCTCCTTTTCCTTCCCTTTCCTTTCTTTCTTTCTTCTCTCTACTATCTTGTTGGATCCTACTGACTTGATACTCTCTCCCTCCCATTCCATACTACTTACTGCCCATACTACTTACTACCTCACTTACTGGTAAGTTCTACTCTCCTATCTAAGAGTAGCACTAGAATGCTCGAGTAGTCATTCCACGTCACCACTCGGGTCCTTCCCTCCTCTGCCACTGGAGTGTCCTCAGTGGCCAAAGGAACATCATCCATCCCCTTAATAGTACACACAACTAACAAGCTATTCTGTATATCAGTGCTCCTACTAAGAGACTCACTGCTTCCTGCCACCACATTCCGCAGTCATGTCTGAACCACTCACCAAGATTGATTCGGCCATCGAGATATCCCCCAAGGACGAGAAGGCCCCCGACAAAGATGCCAAGAAAACCCACAGACGTACCTCTTCCCATGCTGAGGGTGTCTACAACATCAAGGAACTTGGTGGGTCCTTTCTTTCCAGAGTCGTTCTAAGATCACATAGAGCATCGCGTTCCTGAAGTTCTCCCCTGCTAACTACTCATCAATTTGTAGAGGAGAAGAAGATCGAGATTACCCTTCCAATTGAAACCCAGAAGACTGGATGGTATGCTCGTTGCTATATATATACATCTGCATAAGACATGAGACTAATCGGGGTAAACAGGAAATTGAACACCTCACCATCGACCATTGAGGACAAGGATATCCTAAAACTTCATCTGATCAACCCCCCGGTCAAGAAGATTGATCTGCACTTCCCACTAGGGCTCGAAGTCACCGCTCGCAATATGAAGGGCGTCACGATAAAGGATGCGCTGGACGCAATCTACAAGCAGTTTAAGAAGAAGGTAAGTAGCCCAAGATGATGATCCATCAGATGTCTCCCATTCTCTCCAATAATACTGACTTCCATCCGCTCTAGGCCGACGATGAGTTGGACAAGCCTTACCTCGCTGGTTTCGAGTGGGACAAGGACGAGTGCTGGACACGCCTCATTGTTCACCAGACCAAGCAGGGCCCCCCTCAACAGCCCAGCAAGAAGTCCAAGAAGAAGAAGGCTGAAGAGGCATAGACTGCGGTTGCTTCGGACAGGCCGTGTCCATCTAACAATGTCTTCTCTCTTCTCTCTCTTTCAATGGCTACTTCCACCATACTTTGTGATACTTTGTCCTCTTCGTGCCCTTGGCCTCTCTAGAACAGAACCCGGGAGAGTCGAGGCAGGAGCTAGGCGAGAGGATGATAATCCCTGTAATTTGCCTTTGTTGTCTTTTCACTCCAACTCTCTGCTTTCATTTCTCTTCCGGGAGGATGGCCTCGCTATTCCCTTGCCGAGTTGACTTACTGAGCACCGGACGATCTTGTATCTTCGAGCTCCATTCCTTCATTCAGATTCAATGTGGAGACACAGGAACATTTAGTTGACCTTCTGGATAACTGACGTAGAAACTACTGCCTAGTGCGGTTCTAGTAGACGGGCTAACCCGGTAGGTTCAGGCACCAACGATCAGGATGGGTCGACGTCCCATCCTTATCAGCATGTGATTATCAGACGTATGTGCATCGGCCTCACTCGCCCGCCGCACCTGCAACAGCTACATTATATAGAGTATCGGCAAAACACGATGCAGAATAGCACAGGCGCTCAAGCGCAGAAGAAGAGATGCTAGAAAAGCACATCAATGCAACGCCCGCTAATAACAATACAGCCCGGCGATAGAGATAGCAGAAAGACAACACAGAAACAGACTGAAGAGAGAAAGAAAAAGAAAGATTAGTATCATACACATTAGCATGAAGTCATCAACGTATTCGTCCCGCGTCCTCCCGCACCAAATAAAACTAAAACGACCTCATCGAGAATAGTAAATAAGAGATGCGCATTCAACCGTCGATTATTCAAAGTCGCAAAGATCCTGCGCGCCGCGGCCTGCGCATTCGCTCGTCCGACCACATTGCCCGCTAGATCGGGGATCAACGTAGCCAGGACTAGACTTGCTTCAGTGCGACTCTTCAGTCGCTCCGATGCACTGCGGACGCGGGTCTGGCGAAGCACGCCGCCCGGCCACATGGTATCCTTGATGAGGGTGATGTAGCGCAGAAGCGAGTCGTCCTGGACAAGGGAGCGTGCTCCTTCGCGAACTTTGCGCTCGATCGTACCCCCTAGCAATTGGTGGAGGACGACGACCACGGCACGCCCGCGCAGCCAGTTATTTCCCTTGTTCAGCTCGAAAGCTTCCAGGAATAGATCACAGATGGGTTTGATGAAGGGCTCAAGCTCGCGGTCTTCGAAGGCGTTTAGTTCGGCTTCCGCTTCGGCGGCGGTGACGGCGTCCTCGGTGGCAAGGCCAGTGTCACCGGGAGATATTGTGGTGGAAGTGGTGGATTGTTGATTTGTAGCGGCTGAGATGAGGCTTTGTCCGGCTGTGGATAGTTGATCTAATACGCCAAAGTTGCCTAGAAAGTCGTCCATGCCGTCGGCGACGGAATTGTAGATTCGAGTGACTAGGTCTTTGGTCTCTCCGTTGGTGGTGGAGCTCTGGTTCTCGTTGCGGGGGATAATGGCTCGTTGGGAGAGGAAGGCTCGTAAGTCTCGACTCCGGCATACTTCAGGGAGAAGGAGGAGTTTCTGTAGATATGCCTCTAGAGCTAGGCGTCGCTTCTGGAGGAATTCTTTCTGGAGCTTGAGAACGACACGTCGACGTGGGAACTCCAGGTGACGGACGGATGGGTATCTCATGCGTAGCTTCTGATGGAGTTCATGGAATTCGCTGTATCTGCGGGCCACGGCCCAGGAGGCGGCGGGCATTTGCTCACCAGCGTTACGTTGCACTTCGACCACATCTAGAAGATATATTAGTAAATCTGAACAGCAAGTAGCTCCCGTGACGGACGGAGGCAGGGTAGTAAGGAACGTACACATAGCGAACTCTCGACCGTCTTCCTCCTTTCCAACTACAATGGATTTGATACGGACGGTCGATCGGCCATACAGACTGTTGTCACTTTCTTGGATGATATACTGCTGTCGTTGCATCTCTTTGCGGTGAATCTCGCGTTGGATGCTCGCTTTGGATTTGCGCAGAATCCTCAACTCCGCGGTGTTGTTGGTAAGTTCAGCTTTGCGAGTGAGCGTGTTTACCACTGACTCTTGAGATCCGAGCTTATCGATATCTGCGGTGAGCGCCTCAATGGCCTCCGTCAATCCGAGATCCCCAGGAGCCGCCTCATGGACTTGATCGGCCGGATCTGTATCTGTTCCCATCGGCTCTTCATATTCGTCTTCGATATACTTCTGTTGTTCAGGGAAGAGATCGTCATCGAAGACCCCCTGGCGTGAGGATCGATCCACGAGGCCTAATGAGGCAATGCTCGGCTTGATACGGTCCTCTGTCCGACTATCTGCCCGAGGGATATCCATTGAGCTGCGCGGCGACCGGGGGAAAGGGTCGCTAGCGGGCAATGCAGACGGGGACACATCGGCGTTCTTCAAATCTTCAATTCGAGTATTCTTGGGCTCGCTCGCGATGATGTCGTTTAACGCTGCCTCCATATTCACGATGACTTGGTTTTGGTTCGCCTCAGTTTCGCCATTTTGTGAGTCTTTCCCTAGGCTTTGTGTCGACATTGCCAGTGGATCTGTATCGTAGTCATCGTCAAACAGCGGTGCAGATCGCTCGGAATCGAATGAGCGCCTCGAAGACTCATCGTCATCAAACAGTTTGCCCATGCTTCGAACATCGCTCGAAGAAACCGCCGCTCGTCGCAAATCTTTGGGCCTGGCGCCAGGTTGTGATGAGGTGCGAGACATCAGAGGAGGTAAAGGCCGCCTTTCGGGCACTTCAGCAATGTTCGGGGAGCTCTGTTGGGGGGACTGCGGGCCCGCTTGGGATGCTTCATCCGAGGCAAGGTATTTATAGTAGAGATCTGACTGCTTGAACTTCGGGTAGTAGATTTCCTGAAGCTTATCGAGCACCGCGGATTGAGTGCTCAAAATGACCGTCCGAGCCTTTCGATACTGCTCCGAGGTGGCCCGCTTCCCTGCGCTCAGGAAGGCCTTCACCACCCGACGGGACTCATCCGATACTTTTAACTCCGGTTTCGAGAGATACGTCTCACTGATCAGAGCCATGTCACTTCGGTCCGCTGGGGTCCAGCTTGTGGAGGTCGGGGAGCTTTCGTCTCCGAAATCATCCTCCAGAGGGTTGCGGAAACCGTCGACCACGATCCAGAATTGAACTAGGGACATGAGCTGCTGACGGTCCATAAACTCCATGAAGTAAGAGAGACCCGACGCATCATGCATGATATCCACTAAGGAGGCTTCCTGAGGAATAGAATTCTTACGGCGAAAGTGGGATACAGCCGCGGAGGCGTGCGACATCTGAGTACCTCCGGGGGCAGACAGCTTAGCTACTTTTTGGTCCAAGACCCTCTTACCGGTCTCCAGTCGTCGGAGGTAAACTTGGTCCTGTCCTTCCACCATAGTCTCCCGCTTCAGTTGGCTTGCCACCAAGGCTCTGAAGCGTCTGGCGTCCGAAAGATTGTTACAGCGCCGGATGGCCCGGACAAATCGCTCGAAGGCGCGCTCTGAATCGTGGGGACTAAGTCGAGGGAAAGGGTGACCCCTCTTCGACCGGGGAGCCGGGGATGCATGCTCGTCCAGGGCCGCCCTGAGTTTCCGGACAGTCTTACGGTCCTGAATCGCGGTGCGGCCATAGGCCTCCATCAGCTGATTCCATGTGTCCGGATCGGAGAGGACAGAAACGAGAGGGAAGAGCACAGCGCAGGCTACAATCTCACGAATCAAGACGGAAACGATGCGACTATTGAGGACGGATTCCGGGAACAGTTGGGGCAGGAGCCCGACGGCAATTTTGCGGAGGTACTCCTGTTCCAGTAACTTTTGGTCGGAGAGAGACAGCATCGCCGCCGGGTGTAAGTTCCCCTCGCGATACTTGCTCGCGATGGCAATGTCCAACTCTTCCGACTCCGTGACATTCCTGGTAAGATTCCTTCCCCGGACCAAGCGCTCAGCAACCTCAGACTCCTTCAGATGGGATGTCAGAACGGGGAAAATCCGGGACACTACGAGAGAGACAAGGTCTTCCGTCAGGAGCCTATCGCGCAGGTTTCCAATGGCTGTCCGAATCGTATGATCCACCTCGTTGACGAACGTGGGGTTGGGACTGATATGCTGGTACCATGATGCGATGAAATCCCGCGTGGCGAAGGATAGGAGCTCGTCAATCCCTTCCGAGACGATGAAGGATTGTGGGTAAAGTGAATGTGGATTATAGATTGAACGGCTTTTAAATGCCTGGGTTTCTTGATCCCAGTGGTGGCGGGCGAGGAATGCGACGCGGGGGTTCGTGGGCGAAGGTGAAGAAGCAACAGCGTCATTGGGGGAGCGGATGGTGAGAAGCACGAGAGCGAACAACACGGCGGAGGAAAGAAAAGCACCGAGCACCAGAGCATAACCCAGATATCTCAGTATGGGGAGCCATTTGACGGCGAGACCCCAGGCTATAAAGGCACCAATGCCCAGGAGGACATAATCGCGATGCTTCAGGGCCATTCTCCCTGGAGCGGATGCGCTGCCATGCCGGTCAGGCAAGGAAAGCCGAGAGGGGGCCGAAGCAAGACATGATGGAGAAAAGAAAGTGAGGACTGCAGGTTAGAGAAGAAGATGGAAGAATCAGAACAAGAGCTATGAGGGGACAATTTTAAGAAGATAACTAAAAGTAAAGAGGAAGAAGAAGGATGGACTGGATCAGGCGGTGAGTTGGAGAGGCTAGTAGTTAGTAGTTGCGTCACTCAGGTACTAGATAGTTAACTTAACTCCTTCCTTCAAGGTCTGCAGCTGGGGTTTATTTATGATAATGCGATAGATGTGAATGGTAGTAGTGTAAGTTTATAGAATATATACTGTCATCATCAAATGAGGAGAGAAATAACTTTGAACTGTGGTACTATCCTAGTACATGGTAATTCTGCCTGAGGCCTTGTCTCGTAAGTTGTAACTTGTAAGATCCCGTGCGTCTTTTTCGAGACGTCATGCCGTTTCGGGAATGTTTTCTTCTCTCCACTTCTGCTGCTTGCTACTTCTTCTCTTTGCTTTCCCTTTCCTTCTTCCTTTCCCTCTTCACCTTCTTCT